TGGATATAAAGTAAAGAAGTTTTTCCTTCCCAAAGAGGGAAATCTGAACATTTTTATATTTAAAGGAAAACTCCAGTACTTGTATTTAAAGGAAAACTCTGGAGTACAGCAGAGACTCAGCTATGTTTGGCTATTTAACTATCTATGAAATGATAAGCACGATGCTGTTGACGGCAGTATTAGCATGAAAGCTGAAGCTTTAGCGCTTTATCTGTTTGAGCAGTATGTACAGATGAGGAGGTGAGAGAGGTGGATAGACTAAAGCATCACTCTCTTTAGGTAGAGATCAAGTAAGGGCTAAATTCCAGACTATTAGCAGGTAGTCGAACAGCATTGTGGATAATGTAGGAATCTGTTAGCCAGAGATAAAATAGACCACCATGTCAAGTTAATCATACAGATTAATATGCAAGTAGTTCAAGGTGGAGTTTCTTTAAAGTATCGTATTTATACGAAGTGAACCTAAGCTGTACTTGCTGTTGTAAGGTAAAAAAAAAAAGGTCAATCTTACGGCTGAGATTGTGGTGACTCACGACATTGTGCTTTAACAGTTAGTGCAATGCATTTACACAGAATGAGTTATAAAATCTCAATCATCAATACCCATGTTTGCTTTTGCACTGACAACAAATGCAACTTTACCTACAATTAATTAAAACTAGATTATGATTAGAGGCACCAAATGGAAAATATCTCAGCAAATGATGAACAAGGTACTTTTTTTTTTTGATGAACAAGGTCTCTTTCCTCACCAAGGTGGTCCCGCCCTCCTGCAGATATAGTGGAAGGCTGAGAAAGACGTTGGGGACACGGTGTACGTTCTCACAGCCTAAACACTGAGTGCATACTTCCATCTCGATCATGTAAAGATTATTTATCTCTGCAGCCTGCAACAAAATAGGACAAAAAAGACAATCCAGTCTCTCCGTCATACGCAAGCCTCTGCTCTGTGTCACTGACATCATTCCATGTCCATGACATCTTTCAAGTCCACCTGTAATAACACTTCGAGATAAGTTAAGGTCTGAATTACAGTATGTCATAGTAGCTAGGAAATTTTGGATTCTTTTGCCTATGATACTCATATGTGTTTATGCCTCATCTATTTTTAATAGTCACTTTTTAAAGCACAGCATGGAGAATTCAATTCTAAACCCACAATTTGCTGGTCAGACATCTGCTTCTGAATGAGGTTTAGGATGGCGTGGAACACTTCATCAGCGTCATGTTGAGTTAACCCTAAAGCAAAACACTTGATTTATTACTTGATTACTACCAAAAAGAATTTACTGCATTCTATGAATTAGAAATATTTAATTAATCAAGGTTACAAGCCTAAATGTTCAGGACATTTTTTAAACAATTATCATTCTGCTATAATGGTAAAGACTGTCAACCTATATGTTTGAAGAAATATTACATATTGCGTACGGCAAATGTGGTTATGGTGAAGGCACTCCAGAAAATCCAGATGAGGACTGGCCTGGCTTTTATCCTTCATGGCTTCTAATGCTCTTTTGAGCTCCAGGGGAACATTGTAGGCATCAGATTCCTTAGATGGCTGCCATCTAAATACAAAAATATCAGCCACTCTAAAAACATTTGTACTTCTATCTTACATATACAGTTGAGGCCAAAAGTTTACATACAGTGGCTTGCAGAAGTATTCAGCCGCCCCGGAATTTATCAGATTTGTCGGAATAACAAATGATAAATACATATATTCCTCCTATCAGCATTTTTATTACAAACTCATGTTCTCTTGTGAATTTTCAGTCAAAATTAATTATTTGGGCAGCAAGTATTTCAACCCCCCAGGTTCCGGAAGCTCAAGATGTAAGATATTGTCTTAATAAGCACACAACTGACTTATAATTGGTGTTTCAACTGTGGAATATTAAAACAGCTCCGATTTTCTGTTGAACTGGCATTGAAGAGACTGTCAGTCTGAAAGTGGGAATGAAAACTAAGGAGCATTCTAAGGAAGTGAAAGATACCTTAGGAATAGGGTGTAAAATTATATCTAATTAATATATGGTTAATTTATGGTATTTAAAACCTAAATGTGTTATTATTTACATTTCTCAAGAAAGTTTATTATAGTTATAATTCTGTTTAAATTAGTAATAATTGCTGTATTTAAACTCAGGTGACATCCTGTTTTACCTGCTGAGCAACTCCTGTAACTCTGTAGTGGCTGCAAAAGACTGCAGTAAAGCATTTACACAGCAGGAGAGACTGCAGTTCGAAAGCCCTCTCACACCTGCAAGTACGAGTGACTGCATTACATATACATTTATACAATTCATGCATATTTACCCCTTTCTAGCTATTAAGAAATTCACTGATACATATAAATCCAGAATATTAAACAAATTCTTCCTCCAATATAAAATGCAATGTGAAGGCAAAATAAAGTGAATATAAAAAGTCTACATATATCTGTGAAAATGGCAGGTTTTGCGGTGTAAAAAATGAGACCAAGATAAATCATGTCAGATCTTTTTCCACCTTTAATGTGATATAGCAACCAACCAAATTCAGGTAAAAACATTTTTTTTTTTTAAAACAAACTCCCATTTTTTAGGAATAAAAAAGAAAAAACGTGCAAAAAAATTGGTTGCATATGTGTGCACACCCTTTTATAATGGGGCATGTGACTGTGTTCAGAACTCATTCAAAAGTAATTATCATATAGCTGTCATCAATTAAGTGATTCTTATTAACCCCAAATAAAGATCAGCTGTTTCTGTAGGATTTTTTTATTTTTTATTTTTATTTTTTACATTTTCTTGGTTTCATCCGACTACTGATGTACACTGTCAAAAGGTTAAGGGGTACAAAAGAATTTACAATTTCCATATGACAGCAAACTCTTGTATTCTTCACATGTCTGGATGCCCTTTCTCATGAAAAAGAATCATGTGGTAAAATGTGTTATGGTCTGTCGAGACCAAGGTAGAACTTTTTAGGCATAACTCTAAAATATATGTTTGGCGCAAAAACAAGACAGCTTCTCCCTGAAGTACACCATACACACTATGAAGCATGCTGGTGGCAGCATCATGCCATGGGGCTGCTTCTCTTCAGCTGGAACTGGAGCTCTAGTCAAGGAATCATGGATATCTCCATATATCAAACTATTTTGGCACAAAACCAGCTGAAGATGAAGCAAAATTTCACCTTCCAGCACGATAACGACCCAAAGCAAAAGTTCAACATTTTTGAATGGTGCAGTCAGAATCCAGATCTAAATCCTATTGAAAACCTGTGGAATAACATGAAGAGGGCTGTGCACAGGAGATCCCCTTCACAATAAAATGGATCTGGAGCATTTCTGCAAGGAAGAGTGGAATAAAATTGCCAAATACAGATGTGCTAAGTTGGGAGACTCTTACCCAAAAACACTGAGTGCTGTATTACAAGCACAAGGTGCTTTAACAAAGTATTAGTCAAGGGGCATGCACACTTATGTAACCAGGTTATTGTAAGTTTTATTTTTTTCCCCATAAAATGATTCTATTTGTTTTTCATTCGAATTTTATTGGTTGCTGTATCACAATAAAGGTGGGAAAAAGATCTTCGTTTCATTTTTTTTTTACATCATGAAAACCTGCAGTTTTAACAGGGGTGACTTTTTATATCCACTTTATGACATTAGAAAAAAGAGACAACTCACCTACGGCTCTAGTTCTGTTGAAAGATTCAGATCTACACCAAGCCATTCCCATCTATAATAATAATAATAATAATAATAATAATAATAATAATAATAATAATAATAATAATAATAAGTAGGTTGCAGCTGGAAGACAGAGGCAGTATTGAGGAGAGTTTATTTGATGGTACCTAGCAACACTACTGTTACAGACATTTAACCTATACAAAATGTTAGTATTTGAGGTTTTTAATTGATTTTATTGATATTTACGAGTCATTGAAATAGGAAAAACATTCATTCAAAAGAAGAACAAATCACAATGAAGAAAACTATCATTTAGCATTATTCATTTCAGGGCTAGAAATATAGAATGATTTAAAAAAAAAAAAAGAGAGAGAGAACTGTTTTGTAACACAACTAAACCTGCACTGATGTATTTTAAGGATGAATCTTTACTGAATGCACAGATTCTCTGTGATGGATCTTAATGTAGCATGACTTTTGTCTTCTCTCTAATATATTTAGCAATAGACTTAGCAATAGCTTTAGCATCAGCATGTTCAGGATTACAACGAACAAATTAGGTTATTTATAACCTTATTAAACAAAATGGTGTGAAATTAGACACTGACCTGCAGTGAAGCTTTCAGACAAAGTGGTGATGCACTGACCTGCTGTAGTGTAAACTTTACTCAAAACGAATCTTAACCAGAAACGAAACACTTTCACTTTCACTTTCCTGTCACTCCTAAGTTTCTGTTCTAGGCGGAGCAACAACCTGCTCAACATGCCTCTAAAATCTGCCGTCCTCCTAAAAGTCCATCACAGGGTGTGTCTCTATAACCAATGACGAGACCTACACACTATATAAACATTATCTACAATTTACCAGGCTATTATTTAGTAATATAATGTGTCGCGCGCGCTTTGCTTTCTGACGTGCGTTGCAACAAAACCATAGCAGATCCTACCTCTTTGTGTAGTACATACAAATATACAGTGGATATAAAAAGTCTATCCAATTTACAATAGGATTATATCTGGACTCTGACTGGATCATTTGAAAATGTTGATCTTTTTCTTCTGAAGCCAGTCCTTGTTGACTTGGATTTGTGCTTTGGGTTGTTATCATGCTGGAGGGGGAAACTTTTCTTCATCTAAAGGTTTTGTACCAAAACAGAAGAAGAATAAACCCTTCTTTGTCACATATACATTACAGCACAGTGAAATTCTTTTCTTCATTTATTCCAGCTTGTTAGAAGTTGGGGTTAAAGATGATACAACACCCCTGGAGCAGAGAGAGTTAAAGGCCATGCTCAAGAGTCCAACAGGGGCAGCTGGGCAGTGTAGGAGCTTGAACCCTCAACCTTCTCATCAATAACCCAGAGCTTTAACCATTGAGCCACCACTGCCCTAGATTGGTAGTTGGAGTATGCACAGCACGATGCTGCCACCACCATGCTTCACTGTGAGTATGGTCTTCTTTGGGTAATAAGCTGTTTTGTTTTTGCATCAAATATATCTTTTAGAGTCCTACCTTGGTCTCATCAGACCATAGGTTTGGGGTGATTTAGGTGGGCTTAGATGATTTTTTTTTTTGGGAGAAGAGCTTCCGTGTAACCACTCTACCCCATCGCCCAGACATGTGAAGAATAGGAGATATTGTTGTCACATGCAAGGAGTAAGCAGTACTTGTCAGATATTCCTGCAGCTCCTTTAATGTTGCTGTAGGTCTCTCAGCAGCCTCCTTAATAAGTTTGTCTCTTGTCTTTTTGTCAATTTTGGAGGGATGTCCTGTTCTGGGTAATGTCACTGTGATTCCCCATTTTCTCCACTTGTTCCATGGCACACTGAATATTTTTTTTATGTTTTGTACCCCACTCCTGATTGATACCTTTTGAGATTTCATAAATGCTTTGTCTAAGCTCTTTTACAGAAGCTCTTTGGCTTTTAGCCAAGAAATCCTACAGCAAAAGCTGGTCTTTATTTGGAGTTAATCAGAATCACTTAATTGACGACAGGTGTATGATAATTATTTTTAATATGAGTTTGATTTCGATTTGTTAAATCTGAACACAGTAACATGCCCCATTATTAAAAGGATGTGCGCACTTATGCAAACTGGTCATTTTACTGTTCTCACATTGGTGGCATCCATGAAAGACGTTTGGCTTCCCCACCTCCCACATCCCAGTTTAACTTAAGTTTAACTCTAGATCACTTCATTTTTATTACGTAACAAGAGATGTTCAACACCCTAAATCTTAAATAAGGCAAAATCTCAAGAATAATAGTGTGGCGAGCAACAAACTTCAACTGCAGTGTACATGCTCAGGAAAAAAGGTACTAAAATGTGCTTTTCCTTTTCACTTACATCTTTTGTACCTTTAGTTTCCAGTTTAGTTTCTACATAGTAATGTGACTGTAGCATACCTTTAATAATGATTTAAGGCACTTAATTGGATCTTAAGGGCCACCCTTGTACCTTAAATTAGCTTTTAGAATGATGTACTACATTCAATTTTTTTTTTTACTTGAATATGGTTGTGTATTATGTCATATTAAAGGTGGAAATGATCACTACGTGCTTTCCAGGTAAAGGACACAATAAAGGTACAAACGGCCTACCCTTGAGCATACCACACCAGTGACAAGGAAAGGTACAGTTTAGCTTTTTTTCTGAGGGTGTATGTGTTACAAACACTTCACAAAACACATTACAAAGTGAGGACTTTTCAAGAGCCTTTCTGTGCAAGCGGTCCCAGGCACATACATCATGGTCGTGTTAATCATAACCAAATGTTTGCAGTGTTTTCACCATCATTTGTTGTTTTTCTACAGCTTATTGTGCACAAATGTGTTTTTCAGGAAGAAGCCCTGTAGTATGGTCCAAACATAGCATTCCACATCTGCTGCCAGAATCCATACAGCCGGAGGATCCATGGATAAGCGGAAGGCAAAGCTGTGGATTAAGGATATATGCTTATGAATATGCTTTTTAAACCAAACACAACAAGGTATGCTTACATCTATTCTTTTTGAGTTGACTTAATAACAGCACATGGACTTTCCTGACACTTGCTTTGATGCCTGTGAAAGACTTTCTATCTCTCTCTCTCTCTATTTATTTCTTCTAAATATAGAAATTTGTCTTATTTGGATTTGCTGTCTTGACACTTTTATATTGCTTCTATTGAGCCAGGGTTTTAACCCAAATGGGTGATTTATAATATCTTCTTTATAATATCTTTATAATTAATGTCTCGACTAATTTTTCAAATGAAACACACAGTATAATCAAGACTCAATTTCTTACAATCTCTTTACTGACATGCAGTCATCAGTTAATTTTGGTATGCTTAACTAAGACACAACAAGCAGCACTGTCCAAATTATTTTTCCAAATATTTATCTGCATGTCTTACCGCTTTCTTTCTGGAGTAAGCTGAGACTGATGTGCACTTTATCTACAGTCACAGTTTATATTAGTCTTTTGAGATTATCGCCTCACCTGGGTCCATACGTATGAGCAGCAGGTACAGCAGGAATAACAGAACAGCAGTTCTGTGAATAAAGCGTGACCAGGCAGAGACACCCGCCAGAGACAGTCCTCTGTACAACAACCTCATAACAGCATTCAACTTCCGGACCACTGACCCTGAAACAATATGAAGTAATTTAATTACAATAATCTGGAATGAGATGTTCAAAAAGTACATATGAGTGTGATGGTTAGAAATTAACAACGTTCTAAAGTCTTACTTGAAACGTTGTTAATTTCCGCATCATTTAATTTGGGTAACAGGTCTGTACATTCAACATGCCCTCATCAGTCAATATCACAATATCATTAACAAAAACTTTTTTCCTTCCTTAAAAAAGAGCTTTATTTTCTTCTTCTTTCTTCTGGTCTCCAAGAAATTCATATCATGCAACTTCCTGCTTAACACGTGGAATATTGCAAACATTTCATACGGGTGAATGTGTTCAGCTAACACGAGTGAGGAAATGTTGCAGGACATTTTTCATAACCTATAATGGATGAGTGATGGGAAATGATATTTCAAGCTTGTTTTATGGATTCACATATTAATGCAAAAAAGAATAAGATTTTAATGATTATATTTAGATAAAGTGTAGTTATAGTGGGCTGGGACAGGCAAAATGTACTGTTCTCCGTGCTTTATATAAGTTATTTATCTAAAATATAAACATAGGTTATTGTAAAGGACACTTTACCCATGTTACATTTATATTTTAATTACATATCTGTAAATGTAATATCAATGGGACAAGAATGACCTAAAGCCTAAGTGTGGAATCACCCTCACTCTCATTTAATATTACAAAACAGACAATACCTTGAGGTATAATCATTTTCTCTGCTTCCACAGGGACGGGATCAGGGCTTGGATATGAATGGTCCATCTTTTTAGCGTCATGATTCTCGAGTATCGTAAGTGCAGTTTGTCTCTGATCCTCAGTAAAGGCAACCTGTCCCACTTCATCCTTCAGCAGCTCCTTGGCCTCTGCGGTTTGACCCAGTGGCAGAAGAACATGCAGGATGTAGAGCTCGGCCACGCTGCTGTAACCTGACAGACTCGTGTTCGAGGAGCAGTGCAGCCAAGTTCGCACTGCCTCCTGCACCGCTGCCTGCTCAGACACCTTGGTGTAGAGAAGAATGCTGTGAATGTAGATGGAGCAGCAGTTGAACATGTTGGCCGCTGCTAGGTGATACAGCTATATTATTATGTCTCTCCAAAGCAACACACATCTAATTTATTATCCTTACTCTCTCCTGCTTGCATGAAGCTCATTTGATGAATAAAATTGGCTCAGTTGGTTGCCAAAGACATGGGAAAGGCAACTGAATTTAAAAGAAATGATTTATTATACTAGATTTTCTCATATTTCTTTATTTTTTCTTGCTTACTGAAAATATGGGACAATATTATTAAGATTTTTACTGATTTTTTTTTTTTATTGATTTGTAAATCATGTTTCACAGAGGATTTATTCTAAACTTCGCCATTGTGACATTGGAAATGATTCTTTGGTGTGACTGTGGCTTGAACTCAATATAGAAATATTTTTTGTGATCATCACTCATGCTGCCTCATGCTATCCTGATTAGTAGATACCCACCCAAATATACCCGAATATCCCTCATGTATAATGTGTCAAGTAGACATTTTTACCACATCTGCATGATCTTTGCAGGAATTTGCTCGGTTTTGCCATAATGCTGCAAAACCCAAGTCAGGACGTCATGCCACTGGTTTAACTCGGCCAGAGCTTGAATTCCAACTATGCAGAGCGCTGCTTTCAACTCTCCATGCCTGGAACTGTGAAAACACACAGGCTTAGTTGTGCTATTTTCTAGCAAATTATCAAGTCCAAAACAATTCCACTAAAGAAATCACAGGCTATTACAAATATACTGCATATACAACAATAAGATATTACATTTATTTATATGAATGGACCCATTTTGCTGTGTCTCTATGCTCTAACATTCCACAGTCACCTTGGGTTTTGAAATAAACAGCTCCTAAAGAATAAAGCTGAAACTTTTCTAAAGGATTTTAGCCAGAGATGTGCATAAATAAGCATTCTATCTAAAATCTGAATTGTTTTCTGTTGTCTACTTGGAACATGATTACAATTTTTGCTTAATGAATCATGATAGTAACTGTGGCAATATCTCTCCGGTAATCCAGCATCTAAACACCATCTCGTCCACTAATTATGGTCAAAACCAACTATTCAATTAACTCTACTATGCCTTAATATAGAATACTGAGTAATGTTTTTATTTGTTAAACAACAGAAATTACATTCAGTAATTTGAAATAACAGGTTATATGAAGCGTCTGCCATTCAAGTCCCTGAATGAGCTGTTATCATAGAAAAGATAGAGCATCATTCCATCTTCTGTACCGCTTATTGTACACAGAGTCATGGGGAACCTGGAGCCACTGCCAGGGGAATCCGGGCACAAGCTGGGGGACACCAACCCATTGCAGAACACACACCAATCAGTCTACAACACACGCCTTGGGACCAGGGAGGAAACCATAGTACCTGGAGGAAACTAAGGGGGAAAACGAGCAATTTCAAGGCAGAAAGGGTGGACATGAGAATCAAACCCACAATCGCGGAAGGGGGAGGCAAGCGCGCTAACCACTAAGCTCCTGAGCACGCAGGAAGACTACATTTTGATTCCGGAGCTTACAAACGTCTTGCACATTGCTACAGTCTTAGCAAACGTTTTGCTTTGCAGTTCACCCACCAGCTTTGTTCCTGCTCGTCAGCTTTAGCTAAAATCTCCAGTCCCTTCTCACAAGCATCAAACGCGGCCTGAAAATCATTCCGGATGATGAAGTGGTCGATGGCGGAGTCCACCAGCCCTG